TCAGAGGCAGAAATGGAGAGCACCACGGTTCTAGGCCAGCCCATGCAAAAAGTTACTGAGACCCCTATCTCAATAAACTGGGGTAGTAGTGTGTGCCTGTAATCCTAGCTATATGGTAGGAGAATTGCCATCTGAGGTCAACCAAAGACAAAAACACAATACCCTCCCTAAAAAATAAGGCAAAAATGGGGCTGGGAGTAGGGCCCAAGTGGTAGAGTACTAGCCTAGCAAACCCTGAGTTCAAACCCCAGTATGCCAAATAGATGTATTTACACATTCTTTCAATCGAAGCATGGCATCTCTTTACATTTAGATTTTCCTTAATTTCAAAAATGTTTTGTAATTTTCATAAAATGAGTTTTGCCAATTGTTTATATTCATTGTTTTTAATGTTGACATTATTTACACTTGCTTTAAATTTCATTTTCAGACTGTTTATTGTTAGTGTGTAGGTATATGTCTATTGATATTTTGCTTGTTAACTTTGCAGAATTCATTTACTGGCATTAGTTGTATTTTATGAATTCTCAGGATTTTCAATATATAATGTTAAATGATCTGTGACACATGAGGGGATGGTTTGTTTCCTTTTCTGTATGGTGCCTTTAATTTCCTGCTCATGTCACCCCCACCCCCTACCACCATTGGCTCTGGCCCTGCCAACTCTATTCTCTCAGCTGGGCAGGACTCCCCCTTATGTTTTTCACAGGGAAACCCATCTCCACCCCCAATCAGGGTAAGGTGCTCTCATCTGGACTTCTACAGCAATGCACTCTCCCTCAGACCAGGCACCTCTAGGACTGCAGCTTCAGCTCTTCATGAAGAGATGGACATGACATCTCTTCATGCTGTGATATGACTGGTCTGAGTGTTGACACTTGCCTCTAGGGTGCCCTGATGGGGGTAATATTTTCCCAAAACAAAGGTGTTCATCAACAGGGACTCCCTCCTCCCAAGTCAAACAAACCTGTTGACCCTAGAAAGGCCCTGCCCATATCAACCCTCCCCTCACTGGATAGGCAGCATTTCAGGTGCCCAGAGTGACAGGTGTCAGGATCCATCTGGGTGGCTGCCCCAGGGAGGGTCTTGTGTACATGGTTACTTCTACAGGTTTGCTTTCTGGCCATTCCCACAAATGTATGTGTAAAATTCCCACGGGCTCATCATTCACAGTTCACCTCTAATCCTTATGGAAGACCTTAGAAATCTGTGAAAATCATCATGGCTTTAAGCATCTTAAGTAGAACAAAACCCTCCTAAACCCTCCTCTTTTCAAATTCTGCATCATGTATTTGCAGAGTGGAGTGTGGAGTGTGTATGTATGTGCAATGGTCTTGGGATCAGGGTTGAGGGGTTGCTCCACATACCATTACATTTACCTTCATGCTACCCTAGAAGTGGGCTGATGACCTGAGGGGCCTAGAGTTCAAGCATGAGCACATTTCCAGGATACATGGGCTATCCCTAACCATTGCTGGCACTCCCCAGAACATGGTACTGTCCCTGATTGCCTGGATTCCTTGCTGCTCTCTTGGCATCCATCTGGTTCCCTGTAAGCCAGGAGCTCCACTCTCACTTGCTCCAGGATGACTGGCAAGCATTCTCACAGGACCCATGTGTTCTGACTGGGCCTTAATCTGCAGGGAAGCAGTGCTGGTGAGTGAACTTAGTGCCCTGAATACTGCAATTTAAAACTGTGAAATTTAATTAAAAACCAATACTAAAAACCATATGCCAAACATGGGGGCGCCGGGAATCAGAGAAATTAAAAAGGGTATTTTCCCACTCGAGGGGAGGATGGCTCTGGTACTGGAGTGCAGGCTGAGTGGAGCTCAGGAGGTGACTCTTAAGAGAAGGGCTATAATGTACTTTCCCTCATTCAATAAACTTTGCAAAGTTCTTTGCTAACTTGTGATATTGCTGCTGTAAATACTTTTCTTTTAAAATGGTGAAACTATCTTTTATGCATTGTGAATTCCATTTGGTGATTAACGCATTTACATTTAGAAATGATCATCAGAAGATCATTTAACTTGCAGATAGTCTTAAATTGAAGTCATATCTAATGTCAAAAGCAGCATAACTGAGCAAGGCATGGTGGCACACACCTGCAATCCCAGCACTTGGGGAGGTTGAGGCAGGAGGATCATGAGTTTGATATAACACCATGGGCTAGTGAGAATTTGTCTCAAAAATTGTTTTGAAAGAGGGGAAGCAGCACAATTTAAAAGTGTTTATTAAATCTCTGCTATCTGTATTTCCCTATTTCCAGATTTGTTAAAAACTAGAAGACAGAAAAACTAATGTAGATAAAGCTAGCATGAAAATTATACATTAATGTATATTTAAAACCAAATGAGATGACATGTATTAGTTCATCCATGGCTCTGAGAATTAATGCCAAACAACAGTACTCATGACATATTAATCCTATGTGAATTTTCTGTCAATAAAATTTTTTAAATCTCTGAAAAAAATGAGAGGCCCTCATATCTCATCCTACGAACACTAAAAGAATAAAAACATATTACAAAGAATATCATGACCACAGATTTGATAACCTAAATTAAGTGAAACAGTTTCTTCAAAACACAATCTACTATAACTCACAAGAGAAGAAATAGGTAATCTGAGTAGATTTTATTAGTGAAATGGAACCAATACCTATTATACTTCTAAAAACTCACATTCATCCCCATTTGAACTGATAGGGATTCCCATTTTGTGAAGAACATTTGGAAAGAGCAAATACTTAACTTACTACTCATTGGCCCAGACATTCCATGACCATTATGGGGTATTTTTCTGCAATGGGTGCCACAATTATGGAGAATTTAATCTTTTCAGGGTTAAAGAAAGGTATATTTGGCCAGACATGTTGACACTTGCCTATAATCCCAGCTCTCGGTAGCTAGAAACAGGAAGATCACAGTTCAAAGCCAACCTGAGTAACTTAGCATAACCCTGTCTCAAAATAAATTTAAAAGGCCTCAAGGCGTAGCTTACTACTAGAGCACTTTCCTAGCACAAGGAGCTGGGTTCCGGCCACAGCACTGCACCAAATAAGGGGAGTTATATACTCATGGGCAAAAAGTGTTGAAGGACAACCAGTACCCAGGAGTCCTGTAACACAGTCTGGGTTCTCCAGGCCACTTTCCCCTGATCTCTGTATGTTGCATTCCTAGCACATTCCATAGTCATTCTTAAAATTGCAAGTGAGAAAGGTATGTTTGGGGGTCGGTAACTAGACCTGTCCAAGACTATCTACAGAACTGTCCTGTGCATATCTGTTAACACACAGGAAGCATAGAAGGTAGCCAAAGAGGCCAAGACAGGCATGTTCTGCTAACAGGTTTTGGATCTGAGCATGCACGTGACTGCTTTTCTCTTTTCTCTCTATAAAAATTGCCTGAGAGTATTTTGATTTCTACTGAGGTAAGTTGCAAGTTTCACAGATGCTATCATCATCTAATCACCAGTAGTGTGGATCAAGTGTGGTTAAGGGGAGGCATTCAGGAGCCCAGCAGCCTACAATGGGGGAAAGGACCTCAGCTTCCAGGGCTTACAATCCACTGCAATACTGTCACTTTGACTAAGACGATCAAACCTGTGGTCACAAGATTACACCTTTGGCAGGCTGGTAATCAGCAATAATGAAAGCCTACACAATGGCTAGGGGTTTTACAATACTTCCTCCTGTGCTTTGGCAGGGACTAACAGCAAATGCTTCTTCCTCTTCTGTATTCACCAGCACATGCCCTGAGCCACCATAGATGTGCACCTCAATATATTCAGGGGACAGGAGTCTGCAAATGACAGCAGCAAGGAAGCAGCAGCACAGGAAACAGATAGGGTTGATATTCCTGCCTGTTCAACAACTCTTATTAGCAAAGGGTGATATATTTAATTCTTCCCATGGTGGAGGGGGTCCCTTTTCTTAAAACAACCATCTCTAGGCCCATCCCAGGCATATGCAATAACAATGGTCACATGGCTACTTCAAGCATCCAGCGATGGTGACCAGAGAAAATGTGGTGACCACAGAGCTGCAGCTTGGCTCTTGATAATCAGAACTAAGTCCCACCTGGCTATGGTGCTATTTTTGCTTTCTTGATAGGCAAGTGCCTCCAACACTTCCTGCAAAATACAAACAGAACTTCACAAGATACACTGAAGCATTTAACCATTCATGTTGAGATGAGTCTTTAGTGTGGGAAGAGATGGTAACACCTGAAAATGACCAAAGCAAAAGTCCATCAGCAATTGGTGGTTCTGACTTGGGTCCAGTGTATCACAGAACCAGTCAGCACAGAGCAGTCACAGTAGAGATGTCCTCTGTCATGGTTGGCCCATCCTGATTTTATTGCCATTTGTTTCAATAGTCTGCCATTCACTCCACTGGTAAGGGAGGAATTAGTATCCTGGGGCTACTTGGACAAATACATGACACCTCTCACTGGACAGATAAAATGCACAACAGCTTATTAGTTAACTATATTCACAGTCAAGAAGTGGAAAGCACTGAGTCTATGCAGGCACATACACGGATTTCACTTCAGAGTAGAGAGAAAATATAGATGAGGAATAAGGCTCTGCAGTTATCAAGAAGGTAAGATTTTCCTTTGCTCACATGGGAGGATGTGGCTGGTTTGTTTGAATCATTTTGTCTGCTGGCAGCAAACTATAATACACTAGAGTACAGAAAAGACATACTATAAAGCTATAATACCAACAATGTACTATAATCTACACTAATTATATAATTTTAATTGCATACAAGATAAAGTAGTAACATATATACTACTTGTACACAAAACCATATTATATACTAAATATTAAATATACATGCTTATAGATACACATGTACACACACACTATGCATATGAGATAATGCTATACGTTACAATAGGGTATCAAATCTCTTTGAATAGAGACACAAACAGCCTCAACAACGTATTAGAAAAGCAAATCAACCAATAGGCAAAGACTTACACTTCATGATGGAAAGAGGATTTACCTATAAAAGTCGTGTTTTATAACTGAAAGAATTGATGTAATACATCATATCAGAAAAAAAATATGAAAAACCACATGATCATTCCAAGAGATGCAGAAAACCCATTTGAAAAGTTTCAACACCTCTTCATATCGACACACTCCATAATAATGAACAAAAGGGAAATTCCTCGATCTGTCTTAAGCCATTAATTTAAAACCCACAAACTTTAAGAGGAAACTATTTTCTCCCTCTGACTAAACCCAATACATTGTCCTTTCACATGTCTTTCTCATTAATTCAAAGTGAACTGTCCAAACAGCAGTTGAGAATAAGAAAAAAGCCAAGTAATTCACATGAAACTGTATGATGAACTTTACATACTTAAAATTTGATCACAACACTTTATTAGCAAAGAAAATTCCCTTATGTCCCCCAAAAGTTGTTTTTCCAACAAGGTAGAACATATACAATGTATGAAGGCAATAAAGAACATCCCACAAAGTACAGTTTTTAAAAAATCCCCAAAATTAACAAATACTCATTTTTGGGGGGCAACTCATCAATCACAGACCACTTATACAATTATATAAAAATTAAACATACTTACATATTAGAAATACATTTTAACTTATGGATCCAACACATTTTAAAGTAGAGAAAATTTTTATTAACTGACTTAAAAATCACTACCTATTCAACTCAGGCACTACTGCTTGAAGAACACAGCCATGCGCTGCATAACATTTTGGGTAACAATGGATCACATACACAAGAGTCATCCGTCACCTTATCAAGGGGGCTGAAAAATTTCTACCACCTATGAAATGCATAGCTGATGAAGAGGCAAGAGAAAAGACACTGCACAAGGGAAAGAAGCCCAAGCAAGTTCACAGAAAAGGGTTTAGCAGAAGCTACTGCCAACCTCAACAAGCTCCTTTAACAGTTTGAAAACTCAGACCCCCAATAGCAAAAGGTTTTCTTTAAAAGAGAGGAATGTTCATGTTTTTGCTTGCTTGCAAACAAATCTATAATGGAAAAAAGCCTCTGACCCTGTAAAGGGGATCCCAGATGATGGCACTATAATCACAGGAAATGACACCTCTTAGTGTTTTGTTTTTGGTTTGTTGGTAGTGGGTTTGTTTTTGGTTTTTGCCTCACACTTGATAAGCAGGCACGCTAACACTGGAGCCATAACTCCAAACCCTTTTTGCTTTACTTATTTTTCCAGTCTCACACTTTTGGCCAGGCTGACCTGGACCATGACCCTCCTCCACACACCTTCCACATAGCTGGGAGGACAAAGGAGCACCACAATGCCCAGTTTTTTGTTGTTGTTCATTTGTTGTTGTCTCACCAAGTTTTGGGTGGGGCTGGCCATGAACCCAGATCCTTCCAATATGTGCTTCCTGAGGAGCTGGGATTACAGTTGTGAGCCACGGCACCTGGTCCCACGTGCGTTATTACACCAGAAGACTTTCCATTAGGCTATGTGGGGAAAAGCAGAGCAACACTGTGGATAATCTTGGCCCTGTGTGAGCTTAGGATATTGGGTGTATTTACATCTTAAGGTTTTCTTCTCCTTGGACATAGTCTATGCAACCCACGCTGGTTCTAAACCTATGACCATCCTGCCTCAGCCTCTGTGGTACTAGCATACTAGATTTAAACAAGAAAGCTTAAGCTGCTGTGATAAAACAAATTAGGAAAAAGCTCACAGAATAATTATGCAAAGAAATATTTTTATACAGCTGTACAAAGTATTTGAGTTTTAAGGTACAAGCAATTACAAAAGTCAAAAGGTTAAAATTTTAAAGTTTACAAATTGAGAAAGTTTCAGTAAGTTGAATTAATTAAAAGTAGTTCTTTTTATAAATTCAGTAATAATCTAAGGCTATATGTTTATAAAGTCTACAGTAGTATACAGTAATGTCTCAGGCCATCACATTCACTAAGTAATCACCCACTGACTCACCCAGGGCAACACCCGGCCCTTACAGCTCTATTCACATTAAGTGCCCTTTACAAATATAGCATTTCTTTTCATATTTTATACTTCTTTTGTACCACATCTTTATGGTGCCTTTCCTGGGTCCAATACACAAATACTTACTGTGTTTCCACTGCCTACACTATTCAGTACAATAACATGCTATGAAGGCTTGCAATACAGAAAAAATAGACTATACCATATAGTCTACATATATAGTAAGCTGTAACCTCTAGATTCCTGTAAGTAAACACTATGATCTTAACACCATGATGAAACTGCCTAATGATGCATGCCTCACTTAGCATGTGTCCCCATGTTAAGGACATAACTATACTTACAGAATTCTCCCCTCATTGTTTCTCTGCAAAAGATATGAAAACTCAATCTGAGAAAACTTTCTAAATGCAAACCACTGAGGCCAGACATGGTGGCAAATAGCTATAAGCTTCTACTCATGAGGTGGAAATCAGGGAGATTGGGCTTCAAAGCCAGCAGAGGCAAAAAGTTAGAGAGAACCCTATCTGAACAAAGCCAAGCATGGTGCCATGTGCCTCTGACGCCAATTACATGAAAGGCATAAGGAAGAGGATAATGGTCTGATGCTGCCCTGGACAAAAAGTACAAGGCCTCATATAGAAAATAACTTAAAGCCAAAAGAGCTGGGGATGTGTATCAAGAGTCAAGCATGTGTCTAGCAAGCACAAGGTGGTGAATTCAAACTCAGTACCTGCAAACTCAAAAATACAAGACACTAATAAACACAGTATGTTAATAATTCATAAAACAGTTCATTCATATTGTGAAATTTTGAACATTATATAATTAATTTGGATCAGAATCTCAATATACTTACCTTTGCAGGATTTCTTTCCAAGGAAAGCTGTCATGACTATTAATGTTATTGTTAAAATCTTTATTTTCCAAACCACTAGGGGCTCAATCCAGTGTCCATTCTTATATTTACAAGATTTATCTCCAGCATGCATTCTCATGTGTCTTTGAATGGGGTGTGAGAAACATGAAGCCATTCCCATATTCCACTCAATAACAGGGTTCTTCTCCAGAATGAGTCTTTTCAAGTCTTCAAATGGAACTGGAACAACTAAAGACCATAACACACTTCTAATACTCATTGAGCTTTGCTCAATGAGATCCTTCCATAATCTCAAAAACAACTGAAAAAACTGAAGGCTGCCACAATTTTCCTTATTCATAAGATTAGAACAACTTAAGAGTTTTACTGTACTGTTCACATTTTCTCTTGAATTATTTCTTTCAATATTTCTTAATGGGAACTGCAATCTCTGAAGGCATTACCACAGTCTACATTCATAGTGATTTTTCTCTGGTACAAGTCCTTTCATGTCTTCAAGGTAAATCTGGAGGGTTTACTACATTGTTTATACATACAGAGTTTTCTCAACTATGAATTCTTTCCTGTAATTGAAGGGAACAGTGATGATGAAGGTTTTACCTCATTGTTTACATATTTTATTCCAGTGTGAGTTCTTTCAAGTCTTTTACAGACTTGAAAGAACTAAGAGCTTTACCACATTATTTACATTCATATGGTCTTTCGCCTGTATGAATTCCTTCGTGTAATTTAAGGAACTGAGAGTTTTGCCATTGTTTGCATTCACAGGGTTTTTCTTCACTCTGTGTTCATTCATTTACTCAGAGTTAACAGATCCCTGAAGGCTTTTTCACATTGTTTACATTGGTAAGATTTTTTCCACCAGTATGAGTTCTCTCATGTACTTGAAGGGAACTGAGATGTCTGAAGGATTTACCACATTGCTTGCACTCATAGGGTTTTTCTCCTGTGTGAGTTCTTTCATGTACTTGAACATAACTGAAATATCTGAAGGCTTTGCCACATCGTTTACATTCATAGGGTTTTTCTCCAGTATGAGTCCGTTCATGTAATTTAAGAGAACTGGAACAACTGAGAGTTTTACCGCATTGTTTACATTCATAGGGTTTTTCTCCAGTATGAATTCTTTCATGTCTTCGAAGAGAACTATGATCTATGAAAACTTTACCACACTGCATACACTCATACGGTTTTTCTCCAGTGTGAGTCCTTTCATGTAATAGAAGGGAATTGTGATGACTGAAGGCTTTATCACATTGTTTACATTCATAGGGCTTTTCTCCAGTGTGAGTCCTTTCATGTACTCGAAGATAACTGGAACAACTGAGAGTTTTACCACATTGCTTACATTCATAGGGTTTTTCTGCACTATGTGTTCTTTCATGTATTCGAAGGTAACTGAGATGTCTGAAGGCCTTTCCACATTGTTTGCATTCATAGTTTTCTCCAGTATGAGTACTTTCATGTACTCGAAGGTAACTGAGATGTCTGAAGGCTTTGCCACATTGTTTACATCCAAAAGGTTTCCCCCCAGTATGAGTTCTTTCGTGTAATTTAAGAGAACTGGAACAACTCAGAGTTTTACCACATTGTTTACACTCATACATTTTGTCTCCACTATGAATTCTTTCGTGAATTCGAAGGGAACTATGAGCTATGAAGACTTTACCACACACTTTACATGCATATGGTTTTTCTCCAGTATGAGTCCTTTCATGTAATTTAAGAGACCTGGAACAACTGAAAGTTCTACCACACTGTTGGCATTCATAGGGTTTTTCTTCACTATGTGTTCTTTCATGTACTCTAAGGGACCAGAGATGTATGAAGGCTTTGCAGCACTGTTTACATTCATAGGTTTTTTCTCCACTATGAGTTCTTTCATGTGCTCGAAGGTGACTGAGATGTCTGAAGGCTTTACCACACTGTTTACATTCATGCGGTTTTTCTCCAGTGTGAATTCTTTCATGTACTCGAAGGTAACTGGAAGAACTCAGAGTTTTACCACATTGTTTACATGCATATGGTTTTTCTCCAGTATGGGTTCTTTCATGTACTCGAAGGTAACCGAGATGTGTGAAGGCTTTTCCACATTGCTTACATTCATATGGTTTTTCTCCAGTATGAATTCTTTCATGTACTTGAAGGGAACTGTGAGTTTTGAAGACTTTACCGCATTGTTTACATTCATAGGGTCTTTCTTCACTATGCGTTGTTTGATGCACTCGAAGGTAACTGCGTCGTCTGAAGGCTTTACCACACTGTTTACATTCATAGGGTTTTTCTCCGCTATGAGTCCTTTCATGCAACTTAAGCGCACTAGAACAACTGAGAGATTTACCACATTGTTTACATACATAAGGATTTTCTTCACTATGTGTTTTTTCATGTACTCGAAGGTACCTAAGATGTCTGAAAACTTTCCCACATTGTTTACATCCATAAAATTTTTCTACAGTATGAGTACTTCGACGTATTTGAAATGAAGTAGAACAAACAAAAGCCTTTCCACTTTGCTTGCGCTCATGGGGGTTTTTTGCACTATGTGTGTGTTGATGTATTTGAAACAGACTGAGAAAATCAAAGGTTTTCAAACAAACCTTACATTCGTAAGGTCCATTTACATTGTGAGATGCCATGTGTCCTTGAACACTTGTGAGAGAAATAACAGTTTTCCCACTTTGTTTACACTTATATTGCTTCTCTCCATATTCCTCGTGTTCATATGGTTTGTATCCAGAGTGAGGTATAATGTACCTATTAAAGGATGAATAACACATGAGAATTTTCCACACACCACAATCACCTGCTTTTAGTGGAGTAGATATTGCCTTGCTCATATTAACATTTGGAATCTGGGTGAAGGCATCTCCACACTGCCTCTCTGCTTTGTTTTCACATAGTCTCTCTACCCCATAGCTTCTATTAAAAAAATGGCAAGACAAAGTTATAATAAGTGCTTTACTAACAACTGTCTATTTAATTAGTAGGTCTTGGATATAACACTGCTTCAAAAATGAAGGAACATATGTTTTCTGCTATATCTGAATCATCTGAAATTGAATGGACTGGTTACTCAGCAACATGGCTTCCACAGAGCTACTAACAGAACAGCAATATTCACATGTGCCATTTCTTATTCCTGTCTACAAACACTGAACATTATTGTTACATTGAAGAATACATTTCTGATGAATGTTTTCCAATGATAATTAAAATTAAATAAATTAAATTAAAATTAAAAGTTGTGCTTATTTATTTTGTTTGCTTGTTTACAAAATTTCACTCAAGGGACACTGCTTCCTCTTATGCATGCAACCTACCTTAGATTTTCCCCAGGATTTTTGTGCTTATCTTTAATGTTCTGGCCTTCCCATTTGTTTCCTAAAATGTAGAACAAAAAAATTATTATGAATTATTAAAAACTATAGAAAAAAATATCAATTTCTAGGTTCAACATACATTGTAACCAAGCCTTAGTCAATAAATTCTTCTCTTTTCACATTCTAAATCACAGAACAGCTTGTTCTCTAACTGGCTAACTGAAGGAATGATGTTACTCTTACCTATAGAAGCAAGGTGACTGAAGGTTTCCAGCATTACATCTCTGTAGAGATCCTTCTGAGAAGGACCCAGCAAAGCCCACTCTTCATGGGTGAAGTTCACAGCCAAATCCTCAAAGGTCACAGATTCCTAAAGCATCCCAAATGCATACAAAGGAGAATGGATGAGACAGACAGCACTGTGAATCTACACTCAATTCATAAGATGTCCTCGTGATTCTGTGAACTCCAAACATTTATTACATCACTTGGTCATTAAAACTCAGTCCCATAATCCCTCCTACACAGCAGTTCTAATGCTAGAATTGAAGTATTCAGGATGCAAACAGAATAGGAATTCTCCTCTCATTAGCCATCCATAAAAAAACTACAACAGGTAAGATTTTTTTTCCATTTATTTTTTTTTCTTTTTCAATTCCTATTATAAAAAGAAATCTGTCAAAACACTGGATGAACACAAGCTAAAGGAACAGAGACTTACATGAGTAATAGTCCACATCATGAAACTGAAGAAGAATGAGATAAACATAAATCAAGCACAAGAAACAATTACAGAATGAAACTACAAGCAGGAAATTAATACAGAAAACTGACAATCCCCCAAAACTGTGCTTCAAATATCAAAGTGAGAGCCTGGTGCCACCAACACAGCAGAGACCTGAGCCAACACTGGCGCTCTCTGCAGCCCCGCACTCCCTCCATGAATGATCCAGATAAGTCCCTATGTATCAGAGTAAGATGGATGGCAGCTTAGTGCTGACTGTGATTGTGGTGATCTGGAGCTGGAGCTGCCTGGGCTTCCTGCTGAAATATACATAGCAATAAAGGAAGAAAAGAAGCAAAACTCATGGAGTGCTTACCAGCACCTTAGAATGCTGTTGCTGAAGACCAGCCCAACACTAAAAATAGCTGCACTGTGAGAAGAATTTCACAGAAGCCCGAGATGTGCATATTTACTCACATTTCTATTAAATGTTAAATCATTTTGCATAATAAATCTGGGTGCATAGTACATCATTTCATTTTGTTTGAGTTTCTTGAAGACAGAGCACAGTTAACCATTACTATGAACCCAAACTTATTATGAATCTTTTCAATTGGAAAAAAACAATCCAAAAAATAATCTGATGAGAAAAGCAAGTCAAAAATGTGAAAGGAGTGGATTGGTTAAAGCCACAATAGCACTAGAAGGGAGCTTTACAGCAAGTGGCTGAAAAAGGGAGAATAATCCAGGATTTTATTTTGATTCCTTTACTGCATGAAATATTCAACTTAGTTTACAACATGTGCCTACTGATGTTGTTGATAAGTTAAATGACTTGAGTAAGTTCAGTGTCCCACCCAGAACTGAAGAAGTTTGATATTAAAGTCAGAAAGCCAGGAAAAAGGAATGGCAAATTTGGCTATTAGAAGCCTTCTACTGATCTTCCCAGGATAGCCATCTTGTGAGTAGAGGAGAGGAATGTTTTTTCATCAATCAGTTTTATTGTAAGGTCAGGAAGGATGAACAAGTTGAGAAGGAACACATAGCAGTTACTTGGACAAGTTCGTTAGCAGGACAAAAGACTCTGACATATGACATAGAAACTGAATCAGTAAAGGACAGGAGAAGAGGAAATGGGGAAGGATTTCTGAACAGTGGGAAATTCCTCTTAAACAAGCAGCTTGAATCCATAGGCTTCTCACAGTTACACAGTCCAATGGGGGTTACTAATTAAAGTCAGTCTAGGCTTCACTTAATACCTTCTGCTGTAAATCTTCTCCTGAACTAAAATAATCAGCAAACACTCTGCATTTTTTGCAGTGTTTTGTCTTTTATTATTACTAGTGTTTAAGTCATTTTTTACTTGAACCAGAATGTGACATTTGGTAAGGATTTTATTCATTCTGTTTTTAAAATCCAGAAATGGAATTTTATGCAGCCATGAAGAAGAATGAAATGTTATCATTCTCTGGTAGATGGATGGAATTGGAGAACATCATTCTGAGTGAGGTTAGCCTGGCCCAAAAGACCAAAAATCGTATGTTCTCCCTCATATGTGGACATTAGATCAAGGGCAAACACAACAATGGGATTGGACTTTGAGCACATGATAAAAGCGAGAGCACACAAGGGAGGGGTGAGGATAGGTAAGACACCTAAAAAACTAGCTGGCATTTGTTGCCCTTAACGCAGAGAAACTAAAGCAGATACCTTAAAAGCAACTGAGGCCAATAGGAAAAGGGGAACAGGTACTAGAGAAAAGGTTAGATCAAAAAGAATTAACCTAGAAGGTAACACCCACTCACAGGAAATCAATGTGAGTCAATGCCCTGTATAGCTATCCTTATCTCAACCAGCAAAAACCCTTTTTCCTTCCTAATATTGCTTATACTCTCTCTACAACAAAATTAGAAATAAGGGCAAAATAGTTTCTGCTGGGTATTGGGGGGGAGGGGGAGGGGGCAGAGTGGGTGGTAAGGGAGGGGGTGGGGGCAGGGGGGAGAAATGAACCAAGCCTGTATGCACATATGAATAATAAAAGAAAAATGAAAAAAAATAATAATAAAATAAAATCCAGACATAAGGGATAGTTTTCATTTTAACTGGCATATTGTTTGCACACAAAAAAGAATAGAGCAAAATAATGCCATGCAGGAGGAAACAAAAGAAATGCACTGGACTGGAGGAGTGGCTCCAGCAGTAGAGAGCCTGCTTTGCAAGCATGAAGACCGGAGTTCAAATCCCAGTCTCACCAAAAAAAAAAATTAAGAAATGTACCAAAACAAAAAACATTCTCTCATAGAACAATATGTTTTACAGGAAACAACTTTTGCCTTGAAATTTACACAAAATTGTACATAACTGCATGAAAATATCCATTTCCTAAAACATTTTTCATTCATTGGTATTTTCAAGTTTTTCATACTGTACACAGTTCTTAAAACACAGGATACCAGCAGCAACTGAAAATGAATGCAAAATTATCTACCTCAAAATAACAAAAGTACATGGCAAACATACACCACCCATAGTGCTTCCCAATATGTACTTCTATTTAGTCAGCATATACTGTAGTGAACATTCTTTACAATGAAGTGTAATATATCACATCTTATTTATGTTATCAATTTACTTGCTGTACTTAATTATAAACATTAGTTTTAAATTTTTATTTGCAACTACACTTTTTCCATTTAACCCTATAGTTTGTTGAATACCTAGCTGAATATACAATATAAGTCTGTCCTAAGGCTGTCCATGTACTTAATTTATTTAAACACTCATACTCATTGTGTATAGGAATTTGTATTTTGGAGGTACTTGATCTATCCACCAAGAAAAATTTAGAATTACTTTATTATAAAATATTCATAGAGGTCTTTATTACAAAATGCTTATTTGTTAAGACTTGTGTGCATGGACGTAATCAAGAAAATCATTATTGTAGCTTAAAATTTGTACACTATCCAAGGCAAGCATGTATAAAATTTGTTAATGTAAAAAAAAGTAAAACCTAATATGAATATGCCTATACATGTGTAAAGAAATTGAATAACTAGTAACTGTCCAAAAAAGAATGGACAAGACCTCAGTCCACAGGGTGCTCATGGATCCAAGGGAGCAAGATGGAGGACTGTTGATGTCCTGATGCCCCAGTGGCACCTAACTACCCTGAAGAAGATCAGAGGACCCCACAAGGTACCCATGGGATTCCATAACCAGCAAGAAACAAAGCCCTCTCCAAATCTACAGAGATTCTTCCAGAGGAAGAATGGGAAGAATGACTTGCAGTTCAACACTCCTGATTTCCCTGCCCCCTGAAGTCTCCACTTGGCTCCAGGCTCCATTACTCGGCACTTGCTTGGTGTTAAGTCCTGCTTCCCAGCACACACAGGAACTCAGGGCTACATGCTTCCCCAAACTACAGGACCTGCTACCTTCACCCTGAAACACCAAGGAAACCAACGCCCCTGTATAAGCAGGCTCTACGACTCTCACAGGCTTTTTCTCCCATGACTACAGCAACTCCTGTGGCTCTAGAAGCCGGCACCTGGCAAACAGGCCCCAGAACTCCCACAACATGCAGCTGAGATCCACCATACCTGTAGCAGTTGCCGTGGCTCCTGGAAACCCATGCCACAACACAAGTAGACCCCAGGGCCTCTGCTGCATCGTGGGCAGCAGACGATTCAAGCCTGCCAGCTTTGCTGCCCCAAAGGCACTCTCAACTTGCTACTCAGTGCTAGGAGCTCACTGCCACAAATGCAAGTGAATCCCAGGCTCCACGCTTTGCTATTTTATTGGCTCTAGGAGGCTTCCCTCCCCACAGAGGCCAGCGCTAACCACTAAGCCCTCCCATGGGAAAGCCCCCCCTGCCCCATAAAAGAGAGGGAACCCAGCTCTTCCACTGAGTGGTAATCTGCCATTCTGTGGGTGCCAGGAAACCAGCTTCCTAAGGCACAAAAAGGCTGAAAGCATAGTTCCCAACCACAGGAGAGCCCCTACCTCTCCCTTAAAGAAAAAATGCTAGATTCCCCACTGAGGGGAGGAAAGCTGTAAACTACAACACAAAGAACGGCACCAGAAGGCCTGCCTCCCAAGGTGCACAGAGGCCCAGTGCTCCCCACTCTACCTGACAGTTGGCGAGCCCCCGCCTCCCTGCAGGAGAGTTCCATCTATCCTGTCCAAGAGATGGAATCCCAGCTCCTTCACTGAGTAGCAACCCACTACTCTGCAGCTACTAGGAGGCCTGCCTCCCACAGTGCACAGACTCAGCACTCCCCCTTGTGACTGCAGAAGAGTCCTTAAAGCCAGCATTAAGATCATTCTGAAACCCAATAAAGACGTAACCAGAAAAGAGAATTATAGACCAATATCTTTAATGAACATGAATGCAAGATTGTCAACAAAATCCTGGCAAACAATTCAACAACACATCAAAAAGATCATACACCATAACCAAGGTGGTTTCATTCTAGGCATGCAAGGATGGTTCAACATATGCAAATCCATAAGTGTAATACAGCATATAAACAGAAGGAAGGACAAAAACCACATGATACGCTCAATAGATGCAGAAAAAACCTTTGACAACATCCAACACCCTTTCATAATAAAAGCACTGAAGAAACTAGGAATAGAAGGAA